CAATCCGTGTAGGTACTCTGTAGATGGATTTTGGGCTCCCATTGCCCTCCATATCCTTCTAGTAATGGGAGAATGGAATTGATGGGCGCTGCACTCAAGTAAGGAGGGATGTTTGCAAATGCCTGCAACACCCTGACTCTGTCCTCAAGTTCCCACGCACACTTCCCTCCAGAAGGGAGGGCGTCCCCCACATCTGGCACAAGGCAGATACCAGTACGAAATGGGCAGCCACACGATGGACCCAAAAAATCGAGACCAGAGAAAAGCAGGCCCAGGGTAGCAGATGTGGGTCGTTTTGAATCACAAAGGCCAAGAAAACGAGGAACCAAACTGCAAAGCCTGAAGCTGAGCGGCTTCCAAGGGCAGCTCCCCTGAGAGCTTCCCTCAACAAAGGAACAGCCGCAAAGGTTCCAGCCAAGAAGGCGACATCCTGGGCAAGAAGGCCCAGCCCAGAAAACACCTGCTCCCAAGGCCCTGGGCAAGTTGACAAAAGCAACGGTTAAAGAAATAATAGTTTCTTCTGATACGTTGCCGGGGTGAGAGGACCAGTTTACAGCAGGGCCAAAGCTTGCCAAGGGACTCAGTTTTCTCTGCCGATTGAAGGATGCGAGAACATGAGCCAGAGGAAGCTGGGGTTGGGGACATGCAGGGATTGCCTTGTGAGGATGTGCTGATGTGGGAAGTTGGGAAGCCAGTCTGAGACAAGGTAAGTGCGAGATAGGAGGAGGAGGAGGAGGACCAGGGTCGGCTCTCCCCAGCCTGCTTGACACCTGATGGATGCAGGTCACATCCTCGTCTTCCGTTTTCAACCACCTCCACCTGTGGACACCACCTGCCTGTGAAACATGAAAGGCTAACAACACCTGGGAAGCTATCATCCAGGAGCAGGGCTGGGTTGGGGCACCCAATCTGAGAGGAGAGTTCTTTTCATGAAAAAAAAGAAAAAGAGTACAATGGTCAATGCCGACTTAAGTACCAGACCTGGACAGAGGCCATGTCAGTGAGGGGGCCTCCTGGTTAGGTTTCATTAGTCTTGTGGGAGAGCCCGACTGAGGTAGGCTTTCTAAAACGCATAATGCCTTCCTTTCATTTCTCCTGAGGCTTTCACGCAGCCACACGCCCACTTCCTCCTGTCGGCTCCCTGGTTGCGATGGCACAAGAAAGCGCACATGTCTTAGGTTTAAAAAATCTCCTGGAGAGTTGGCTCTGTCCTGGCCCCCAGGAGTGTCCAAAAGAACATGTAAATTTCCTCCTTTTTTTGCCCAAACCTCCATGTGTCCCCCACCCCCCACCACACCCAGTCAAGGAAGGGAATGTTGGCTGGGACACTTTATTCTTTTGGCAATGTGGCACGGAATATGAATTTCCATAGGCAAAGTTATTCTGTCTGGTTGGGTCTAGACTATTTGTTGGCCAAGAAGTTTGCTGGAGTCCATGCTGGCACTGCCAAGAAGCCTCTTGGAATGATTCTCTGGGAGGGGAACAAATCCACCTGGAACTAGATTCTGTAGGGAGAAGGCGGAAAAGGCCAACAAGAGGACCGACCATAAAGAAGTTGAATGACTAATCATTTGAAAAGGACACCAGGCTCTTCTCTCCAAATCCCAGTGAAGGGATCAAAGCCGTCTGATACTAGCTGAGTGTCTGTCAGTCTGGAACAGAGAGAAGCCTGCCATGCACAGATCAGAAATACTAAAGAATTTAGAATTTGTTTGCTCAAACAAGAAGAAACACTAAAGAAGTTGAGCCCAGACTGAGGGAAGGACTGAAGCCCGTCATGCATCCTGGAGAAAAGAAACCAATAGCCCTTCTCTAACTGCCCCTTCTTGTTCCCAGGCTGACCTCCATGGAGCGGCGCCAGCTCAGCCACATCTCACAGCCCTCTGGAAATAGATCAGGTTTTGGCACTCTGAGCATCCGGCCCCAGCACAGGGTGGGGCTTTGGCTGTTGAGGCTCCTTCTTGGTTAGAGAAAGGACATTGTGTCCTTACTAAATGCTGCTGTCCCAGCTAGATAGATGGACAGACCTACACCCACACCCACACTGTAACAGTCTGTCACGGTGCCCTCAGTAAAAACCCAATTGCCATAGGCTCTTCCTTTGGTAACTAAATTTAGACTATGGCCCTGTTGCTAAGGAAGAACGAATCTTAACATAGATCCACCACCACCACCCTCCCCAAGGAAGCAATTCGAAGGAAACGGTCAGACGATAATGGGAAAAGATTTTACTCCCGGAGATTAGGGGTCCTTCCCGTCTGAAACCATCTCAGGGGCATGCTCAGATGAGCCAAGATCGAAAGGATGCTGACGTGTCCCCTGCTTGAAAAACGACTTGAGAAAGCACTTCCTCCAGCGAGGAAAGGGGCCCAGGGGAGGGACGTTCTGACTCGGCGTGACACCACGTGACAGAGTGCAACTGTGAAGGCTCTCTAGGCTCTGGAGCCACCAATTTTGGGGTTACGAGTCAAGCACTCAACCCACGTGCCACCAGGGCTCCTTAAGGTAACACCCCCCTGAAAGCAAGAGTACCGGTGACCTGGGCTTCCTTGGGGGCCGTGACCCCTCCCCATGCTGGGGTCGTGGCTGCTCTAGGGCTCCCAGGGCACCGAGGAGGCGTGGCCTGCTCTGCAGGCGGTCAGCTGGCTGGTGGTCCTGTGCTGACCTTCCTGTTGTGTCTTTCTCACAGACCGTTTTTGAAAGGAACTGCCGTTCGGAGGACTGCGCGGCTGACCTGCAGCTCCGGGGGAAACTGCTGCTCTCCAGGTATGGTAGCTCTCCTCTCCCAGCCTCGTGCCAAGACATTTGTTTCTCTTGACCCTGGGCCCCAGGCCCGATGTGCGGACTTCCTCAGCCAAGAGCGTGGCGTTAATGGACGAGCGATGGGGGAGATTGAGAAATGCACGTTGTAAAAATAATCTAGCCATAACAAACGGGTGCTACGAGGAGACGTACATCAAGGCGTTATTGTTTTTATTATTGCTCTGTTAGAAAAATGTTCTAGTGTATCTGGCAGTGTTTCTCTCGTGTCTTGGAAGCACAGAAAGGTCCACTCTGTCCTCAGACAAACTCTTGGTCAGATGCCGTTGGATGTGAACGGCACCTCCCATTGACTTAGAGACGGATGTAGGAATGGAACTCATTCAGAGTAGAACAGAGTAGCCTGGGCCACTGCCTGGGCTTCCAGTGTCTGTGGTTGTTTGGTGGGTGGTGGTATTTTAGCTTTGCTCGTTGAATTGCATTAAGCCTTAGGAAAGTGCTGATATTTGACAGGGACAGTTTCGCAGGGTTCAGCTTAGTATTATGAAAAGGTTCCTTTCATTTTCCCTACAGTCAACGACGGCCTTTACTTGAACAAAACGTCATGTCTCTATGGCAGGACAGGGGATGGAGAAGGGCAGGCTGTGCTGAGCCCCGTGAACAGACAGAAGTCTCTTTATTGTTTCAGGGTCTCCTCCCACAATACACGAGTCCCCCGAGGCTAAAGGTGAACCCGGCAGAGGCCTCCGTTTCCTCTTTGCCACCCTTTCCTCTTAGACTTCATCTTGTCGGATGAAGGTTCTGGCCCTGGATCCTTTAACTACATGGCAGACAGTGGCTTCCTGTTGAAACAATTCCTTCTGGGAGATTTCTTTTAAAGCCTTGCGCATAAGATTTATTACCATTAATCAAGAAGCACGCATCAGGTTCTGATAGCTCTTCTCTAGAATGCCCTAGAATGTGTCTTGCACTGGAAACTATGAGGGTGAAGTTTGGAGGGAAGGAAAGAACTGTCCCGTGATAAACAAATGTCTACGTGAGAACACTCATCCTTAGGATGATAAATAATTTTATTCATCAAAAGAACACGAGACTAAGATTCTGTATCTCTTTTTCCTCCTTTAGTTTATTAGCGAGAAGGTGATCTGACTCCCTCTTTCATACATAGTATGTATACATGCTCTTCCCAACCACGTTAATGCTAATTCGCATTACGTTTATTGAGAACAAGAGTGGTGGCTTGCAGTGGCTTGTGCTTTGCCAAGCTCAGAGCAATACTTAACGGGTGTTAGCACTGTTTAACGTTCGTGACTTGGGTCTTCGGAGGTTATTGGAGGAACTCATTCTTTAATGTTCATAAATTATAAATTTTAATAGATTATTCACACCTCCATTTTCATTCAAATAGGTCTTCAAAAAATAAAACTTTTAAGGACAAAGTAACACGAAGTACAAGTATATGGATTTATTTTATCTCGAGACCAACTGGAGATACTGGAAATGTATTCTGGATCATAGAAAACCTCCAAAGGTTAAATATTAAGTTAGAGAAGTCCTGATGGTCTAGTTGCCCATTAGCGATAGTCACACCCATCTCTATTGCAATGTGCTTTTCATTAATTAGAATATAACATTATTCAATGCTCAAGGCACTTTATGGTTGAAGCTCCTCTCCTTGTGCTGATAGAACCAGTTCTACTCTATGTGGAGCAGGTAGTCAATGATGCTGGAACAACTAGTGTGGTGGCCAGATCCAGGAATGCAGTGGTTTCCATGGCTATCCACTAGCTCTTGCCAAGAAAATGATGCATAGCAACCCCCTGAAAAACACAATGGCTTCAACTAGCAATCCACCGTTCTCATGCATCTTCAGATCCCTTGAAAGTTGGCTGATGTAGGTTGGATTTAGCAAGCACTTGGTGACTAGCTCAGGTCTCTGGGTTCAGCAGAAGACATGTTAATCTGGCCTAGGCCCAGGTGGTCCCCTTCAGTTAGAGTATACCCTTGTCTTTCGTGGTCTTCCCGGGACCAATGGATAGTAGCATGGGCATGTTTTTCTCAAGGCGTGCTATAGATACAAAAGAACAAGTGGAAACGGACTCTTAAGGTCTAAGCTCAGACTGGTGCACTATCACTTCAGCTGCATCCTGTTGGCCACAGCAAGTCACCTGGCAAAATCCCACATCAAATCATTCTGACTCGTAGTGGCCCTATAGAACAGAGTGAAGCTGCTCCATAGGCATTCTGGGGCTGTAAATCTCTATTTAAGCAGACAGCCTCATCTCTCTCTTGCGGAGCGGCTGGTGAGTTCTAGCTGCCCAGTGGTTAGCCAGTGTGACACGAGAGCTCCTAACCCAAAGTCGAGGGACGGGAAACTGGCCTCAACCCCTTTAGTAGAAGGAACTTTAAAATCACCAAGGCTGTGGGTATGAATACAGCAAGGGGCAAAGAACTGACACCACTAATTCACCTACCACACCCATCAAAAGCAAGGTGGCCTTGTCATCCTGATGCTTTATGGTTTTCAGACCTTTGTCAACCTTACCTGAACCTGTACACTAATAATGAGATTGCCACACTTCTCCATTAAGTAAAGTCACCAGGATAAACCTGCATTGATTCCTGGGATGCCCTCGTGCATCTTCGTCAGGTACAGCCACGTTGTTTAAGAGGGAAAATCTGTCTAAAAGAATCCATACATGATACAAGATGCAAGTGTGTCCATGATGGCGCCACTTGTGGTTACGTGGCATCCCTCTCTAGCACGTAATACTACTGGAGCGCTTCCAGCATTTACTCCTCTTCCTCTCATGTGTCTGCGATAGCGAACTGTTTGGCAATTAGTATTTGGCAGTCTTGGTTGTGTATTGTGGTCAGTCTTCTCTTAAATTATCTAAATCCCCTGTAAATGACACTTCGATAGCTCCTCTGTGTGGCTGGTCTTCAGCGGTGTGTTCTGAAGCAGTTAGAATCTGAGTGTACGGTTCCAGGATTACACTTGTGGCTACACCACCTGTGCCCCAAAGTGTGTTAGAAAGGCATTTTAACATGCAGCAGTGGCCTAAATATGTCTTAAGCCCTGCCCATCCATGTGTAAAACCCACTGCCACTGAGTCAGGGCCGGGTCTCACTGCCCCTGTGAGTTTCTGAGACTGTCACTCTTTACGGGAGTAGAAAGCCCCACTTTTCCTCACCATCTCTGGGTAGAGGTGGCAAAACAAAACAAAACAAAAATGGGTAGAGTGACCGACCAGTAGAAAAAGAAAATGAACGGCTTCAGGACAACAATCTGTGTCCTGCTTGATTAAGTGGACATGCCTCCTGTGGTAAGAAAGTAGCATGTTCGTTGTTTCGCATTTCTTCTGTCTCAGCCCCTCTAACACCCTGGCATGTTGGCAGTATTGCCATCGGACTAGCTTCTGCATTTAGAAAAATCCAAGTTGCAGGCTTCACGAAGAGTGAACTACTTCATTTCTGATTTGTTACGGGAGCCCTAGTGGTGGCAGGTTACGCATCGGGCTGCTAACCATCAAGTCAGCATTTCGAAACCACCAGCTGCTCCCGGGGAGACCGCAGAGGTTTCTACTCTTGTCAAGAGTGACAGTCTTGACAACCACAGGGCAGCTCAACCCTGTCCCAGAGGGTTGCTATGAGCCGGAACCAGTCTACAGCAGTGCGTGGGTTATGATTTAAGTTAACCAATATGACATATAGCTTGACCGGTTTGCTCTTTGTTGAGGATGCATGTCTTAGAAGAGGTTGATCTGTGTGAAGAAGATGAGTGAAATCTCTCAACACACTGAGACACGGAGCTTATTTCCCTGCAAAGAGTCGGTCGGACGTTATCATTTACTGCTGTCAGGTGCTGTCAGGTCCGATCCTGCTCTAGCTGCCCCATGAACAACAGAAGGCAGCACCCCTGCTGCTCCTGTGCTGTCCTCGTCGTCCTGGGGCGTGAGCCCCTTTGTGGCAACCACTGTAGAAAGCCCTCTCCCAGAGGCTCTTATCATTTACTGCTGTCAGGTGCTGTCAGGTCCGATCCTGCTCTAGCTGCCCCATGAACAACAGAAGGCAGCACCCCTGCTGCTCCTGTGCTGTCCTCGTCGTCCTGGGGCGTGAGCCCCTTTGTGGCAACCACTGTAGAAAGCCCTCTCCCAGAGGCTCTTCCACTTTACCCAGCATGATGTCCTTTTCCAGAGGCCGATGCCTTGGCTGTACTTCCTCCAAGACAGATGTGTCTCTCTGGCAGTCCATGGTAGATGCATTATTCTTCACCAACAGCAAGATTCAAATGTCTCTGTCTTCTCCGGCCTTCCTTGTTTGTTGTCTGGTGTCACATGCTGGTGAGGCCGTTGCAGATACTTTGCTCGGCTCAGGTGTTCTTCCTGTGTTGCTTTAGACATATAGAATGGGGTTGTCTGTTCCTGTGTTAACCATGTTTTGAGATGCAACTGGCCAAAAATGGATCAGCAACAAGTTGGAGGAAACACCCCAAGATTGCTATTTGGGGACTCACACACTTCATGTTGTCCTTGGATGGTCCACGTGCAACAATCGTTAAAGTGGCAGCAGCACCACATTGTAAAACCGCTTTCTGATGCCTGTGTTCTCTATTAATTTGCATGTCTACTTCATGAATGAGACCAAAGCTGTGTCTTTGCTTTAAATATTGGTGACAATATACAGTCTATGTGAACTTAACTGTTTATATGCTTGTCAACCACACTGAGGTGTATCAGTCACTAGATTCATGTCTTGTAAATTGAGAATGAATAATTTAGGACTAGTGGTACAAATTGGGCTGCCAAACTACAAGGTTAGCAGTTCAAAACCCCCAACCACTCTGTGTGAGCGAGACGGGGCTTTCTGCTCCTGCAAAGAGTGACAGTCTCAGAGACTCACAGGAGCAAATCTACCCTGCCCTATAGGCTTGCTATGAGCTGGCATCGCCTAGATGGCAGTAAGTTTGGTTTGTTTTTTTGAGTTCACAAGGAAATCAATACTGG